TTCGAAAATTAATTTTAGCTTGTTTGTCGCTCAACTTATATATTAATATATAGCCTTTTTCTTCTTTAACTTGCTTCATCGTGCATGCGAAGAGCTGCCAAAAAGTGTAAAAATATATTTACAGTAGTGACGATGCAAGTATACCCACAACAACTTCCTTACCGGACGGGGAAGCAATTTTTGTTTTTTAAAAGAGGTTTACTCTACATTTAAGTTAAGGGAATAGAGGAAAAGGAGTTATATTTTTTGTATTTTTTTATTTAAATAAATAATTAAATAAAGAAAAACAAAGGAAAATAAATTTTTTTCCTTTTTTATCACTCAATTTTTTATGATCAAATAAAATTTTTTTCTTATCTCCTTTCTTCTGTTTTATTCCTTTCAAACCAAATATATTATTAAAATATTTAGTAATTTGAAAACACTTCAAAATTAAGTACTAGTAGCTATCTTTAAACGTGGTGCTTCCTAATCAAAAGGCATACATTATATCGGGAGCTTAATTAGTAGGCTTGTGGAAGATAATTTAATTTATTTGTCATTATATGCTTTTTTAACAGCATTTTGCCATTATATATGTACGTACCTAAACTTGATTGGGGTTATGGTTAGTTATTTTTTACTAGTAGTAATTAAGAAAATCAAATGCACACGTATGGCCGGTTTGTATTTTTGTAAAGGACGTACCGCTTTAGTTATCTTTAGTTTAACAAAAACAATATATTTATAATGTTAAGTGGTATTGTAAGTTTACAATATAATTTGTCATTATATAATAACTGACTCTTTTTATTTAAAAATTCACCTATAACATTATATGTATTTATTAATTTAATAATTCGTCATATTTATTTAATGACACATTATGATTTATAAATTTACAATCTTATGTGACACTAGACTATTAATTTAATTTTTAGAAGCCAAATTAATTAAGCAATAGGGAGATGGTTGGGGCATTAAGTCAAGCAAACCAATCACAATATGTAAACTTATGCATATTAGGTATATTTGCTTTCATCATCTCAAACAGTGCATTTAAAGAAAAAGAAAAATAAAGCTTAATTTATATATTTATGGCTCTAGCCAATGTGTTGCAATTCCAGGAATGAAGAAAAGTTTATTTAATGAAATGCAGACTTTAGATGATATTATACCTTTGAGGCCCGTGATGTTTGTGACGTTAAGGACAGCAATTAATTTGATGGATACTGTATGCAATTAAACTAAGCATCCAGTCTAATCTGATCCTGCTTCCTTAACTGCTACCTTAACTAAGTTCATTTGTTTGATTTACATATAATAATGGCACAATTAGAAGAAGTTGTATGATAACAAAAGGGATGACAATAATTAACCCTCGATGAACTTTAAATATTAAATACATCTAAAAACCACACCCTCAGGGTTGGCAAGCTGCGGTACCACAAGTTCTAGTGTTTGAACCCCTCGGGGCTTCCCCTACTCCATCCTCAACTATACTTCTATTATAATAATAATAATAACAAAAAAAATAATATAATTATAATCTCACATAATATTATAAAATTATAATTATTATGTATAATAATATAATCGATTCTTTTTATTTAAGAATTCACCTTTAATACTATATGTATTTATTCATTTAACAACATATTATTATTGTTGATATTCTCGATTTTGTTGCCTAGAATAGCTCGAGAAGGTTTTTGAGCACTTATGTCACTTGTGCATGAGAAAAAGGAAATAACCCATTAGGGTAGGTGCTAGAGGTGTTTCCATCACAAGCCTTTCGATACTTAAGTTAGGTAAGGTCCGATGAAGGTAAGGTAAGAGAGGAAGAAAACTAGAAGGGAAGGACTCAAAAGAAATTACCTTTAATGGAGGGAGGAGGCCTTTTAATAGTCCCTTTCTTGATTTGTTACATGGTAAGTAAACTTGCCAACTTTTGTACATCATAGGTTTCCTACCTACCAAAATAGTATGAGTGGCAAGTACAACGTCCCGTACAAGTAGGACTTATGGACACAAGACAAAGGGAGGTGAGCAATGTCTTTTGACATTCTACAAGTGGCATAACACGATAGCCTATGCATTTACTACTTGACACGATGTGGGCTCCATGTCCTTTGTACCTTATCTTATCCTTGGTGGAGAAGATGATGTCGTAGCTTCACCTACAGTAGCCTACTGTTAGAAAAAAATACAAGAAAGCAGAAGGTGTAGAACATGAACTCTATTAAGGAACATATATTGGATGAATGAATATTAGCTAAAGGAAAATGTTTCTTCAGAGAGACATAAGCCAAATGGGTGTGTTCTCTCAAAAAGACACCACTATGAAAAGGTTTCTTTTATCTACCAAAAAACATATATGAGTTTTAGACATATCTTTCTAATTTTAAAAAATTAAATTAAATTAAATTAAATTAAAAATTAAATAAAAAATAAATTTCTTTTGGCAAGTTAAAACCCTAAATGCCTAAGTGCCTATTTAAATGATAATATATAAAAGGGGTAAGGCCTAAACCCAAAACCTATGGGTCTTGAGTTTCAACTTTCTATAATTATTTATGATAAAAGGATAAATATATATAAATTCTTCATTTCCTTATTTTTTCCTAGACGTGGGACTTTCTACATTTCAAACTATTTAACACTTACTAGGGAAATAGCTCATCAACTAGGAACCTACAACCCTTATAGGTATGCAGCTCTACTAGGTATTCCACAAGAGCCTTCTTCAGGGTAGACTGAGCCAGCAAACCTTACCTAATTCAGCTATTCCATAAGAGACATAGATCAACGATGAGCCACCACGTGTGTGATAGTTATTTAGCTAGTATCAATTGTAAACTTACATCTTATATAACATTTTAATTATATCATTGCTATAATTAAAAAGAATTGGGATGTTTAAAGTTTGTCCTTTTTGATATTCTAGGATAAAACCAAACCAATATAAATGGATGTTTATGAGTTGATACCTTGTAAAATTTATTTTGTTAAAAAATAAAAATAAAAAGGAGAAGAGAGAAGGATTTAAGCATATATATACATTAGTGATAAGTTATATGACAATATGCATGTAGAGATGGTAACATTTTTCATGGCACAAAACACAAAAGGATGGTCTTTTTAGTCTTTTTAGCTACCTTTCGAGGTATAAAAAAAATCCTGATCCCGATCTTCATATTGCATTTACTTAATTAAAAACCATAGGTTAGTTTTACTTTTGGGAAAGAAAAAGGATGTAGAGAAAGTTTCATCTTTATTATATTTGCATGCACAAGATTGCATGGTGTGGCCCATGTTTGTTTCAAAAGTTAATTTAATGGTGTTGTCGTACTTGGTGGAAATTTTTTCAAGGAAAAAATTAACTTCCCTTTGATCGAAGATTTTGGCGGGTTAATTCAATTTCGAATATTATAATTTCAAGAGAGTGAATTTTCATAAAAAAATAATGGAAAAGGGGTAGAGATATAATCACTAAGATTATAAAATATTATTTTTTAAATGTTGATTTTACTTAATTTAATTAATAATTAATAGTCATTAATTAATAAATTAATAAATATATAAATTAATATTTTTAAATATTATTTAAAAATAAAATAAACTTTTAATCATTTTAACATTATTGAGGGTAACCATCACCACAGCAAGGAAAAGAATAGTGGTTTTCCGACTTTTGTCTCTATCCGATGCATTAATTCGGGACACCTAATCTGAGGCGCCATTTATTTTATTTTATTTTATTTATTTATTTTGATAAATGAGGCCTGCATTTCTGGGTAAAGGCCAATTTGGACAAATCAACTTGTCAAAGAAATCACTTTGATTTTGCTAATTTCATTCAGTCCCTTTCTTTCCAAATCAGAATTCAATTTTATAAACGTGTAATTTACATACTCTAGGATGCACAAAATATTGTTATCATTGACTCAATTTGCATCGCTAAAGTATTTTTGTAGTACAAAATATATCAAATTATAAAACATTAACAATTAAATTAAAATGCACTTAATCTCTTCATCAAATAATTTTATTATTTTTATAAGTGCACTTTTAATCTCTTGGATACGATTCGATTTTTTTTATTGTCAATTTGTAATATGTTAAAAAAATTTAATTAAGTTAAAACTCTACTTTTTACAATAAAAAAACTTTAAATTTTATAGATAATGAGTATAATTAAAAAAAAAAAAAGCCTCTATATTAGTTGGACTTGTAATAACTATAGTATTGTGGTATAGATCCAAGGTTAAAATGTTAAGAGTACCCTTAATTTTTTTTTTTTTTTATTTGAACATATTTGTAAGGAGCGGGTTTCAAACGCAGCCTGGGAGAGGGGGAATGCACCGGGGTGACTATTGCCACTAAGCCGCAAGGGTGAAGTGCAAATTTTTTTTTTTTTTAAATGCATCTGTAAGAGTAAATTGCATTCCGATGATCATCAGGCAGATATTTTCTATTTTCTCAGAATTTTGTAATTTTAATTTTAATTCATAGTTCCCATCCTCCCATTTCCGTACATAAAAAATAATGTGTTATTTATGCTTAGTCACCACACACTATCCCCTTCACGCCAAAAATCCTTGCCATTTGCAGAGTTTGTTTGCCAAGATCTCACACGTATCTCTCTTCTTTGCTCGTTAAATACCTTCACACGCATCTCTGCTTTCCAAACTGTTTTCTGGGTACATCTAAATCTTTTTCTCCTTATATATGTTTCTGCCCTCTTGCTTGTGTACTTGCATTGCATAACGCTTATTTTCTCTCTCTGTTCAGTTCTTGAAGCCTTTTCCTGTTTTTTTTCTTTTTTCTTTTTTCTTTTTCTCGAAAGGGTGTCTTTTGAATAATGTAAACTCGATTACGGTGTCAAAGTTTGGTGCTTTCTGAGTTTGATTAAAGCCCATTTGCTCAAAAGTGGTATAGAGCTTTCCCTGGCTCACCCCATCATGCATTCCCGCTAGATTTTGAAGTTGAAGTTGGATTCTAGCAATGCCTGTTTGCTTTAAATTGTTTTGAGCAGTTCAAGATGCATCTTGTAATGCTGGTTTCTCGTTAATTTGGTGTTTTTAGCTTTTTGAGTTCCACAACTCTTGTGCTTGATTAGGACCTTTGGTGGGTTTTTGCTTGTTATATTATCATGTAATTTGCCAATCTGCTGCTTTCCGTTCTGCTTTTTTTGTTCACTTTAGTTGGGGTTTAGTTGACGAAGAGAAAGCCTTTACAATGATGAAGTAAAGGAGGTGGGATGGATCTAAGTTCTGTTGAAGTCAATCGTTAGTCTTGATCTAACCATCTAAGCATATGGAGAAAATCTGCTATTCTCGTTAAATTAGCCCCTTCGGATTCACCATGGATATTGCTCGTTAGTTCCTTGATTTTTGCTCAAACCCTTTAATTTAGGTCAGTTTTTATTTAATTTGATTTGTTCATTCCTCATAGGATACAGCCCAATATTCTTTATTCAATTTCAATGTAACTTGTTCAGTTATACATATTCACTTATGGACCTCATCAAGGTTCAATTATACATTCCAAAAATGATAAATTCATACTTTTCCTTCCCTTTAAATCATACAGTGATCAAGTTTTTCTTGTCATTCTGCCTGTACTCTCGCTAACTATCCTTTGTTGATGCAAGTTTAGCTACCTTATTGGCCTCTCGAGTCCTTAGGCATCTGATAGTCTGTTGAGTCTTGTATCTTTGTTGTCTGTAATCTGTTATAAACCAACTAGAGAGAAGAAAAAAATTTCCCATTTGTTTGCACAATATTGACTTGCCATGGAAGAAACATTTGTTCCCTTCCGTGGAATCAAGAATGATATTAAAGGAAGACTTTTGTGCTACAAGCAAGATTGGATTGGTGGTTTCCGAGCGGGTATCAGGTTTGTTACTTTAATTGCGCATCTCTAATTATGTACAAGATAGTTTATGTTATTGTGGATTTTTATCTCTTTAACTGATCTGCATAGTTGTTTCATCAATATTTTCCATCTTTTAGGATCCTTGCTCCAACAACATATGTATTCTTTGCTTCGGCAATTCCAGTTATATCTTTTGGAGAGCAGCTGGAGAGAAATACAGGTATGATATGTTATGACATATGTATGTATTGCTGGTGTCCTTCCATTGTCCTCACCCATATGCTAAGAAAAGCTTTATTGTCAGATGGAACTTTGACTGCGGTGCAAACTCTTGCATCGACAGCACTTTGTGGCATCATCCACTCTGTTCTTGGAGGACAGCCTCTGCTGATACTGGGAGTTGCTGAACCAACAGTTTTGATGTATACCTTTATGTTCAATTTTGCAAAAGACCGAAAGGATTTGGGGCAGAAACTCTTCTTAGCCTGGACAGGATGGTATTTCTTGAAGATCCCTGGTACTTATTACCAAGCCAGATGGATATTTGGTGGCACTGAACTGTTTTGTTTACTTTAATGGCTTCTCAGGGTTTGTGTTTGGACTGCCCTTTTGCTCTTCTTATTGGCAATTCTAGGGGCATGTTCTATAATCAATCGATTTACTCGACTTGCTGGTGAATTATTCGGTCTACTAATTGCAATGCTATTCATGCAGCAGGCTATTCGGGTAAGTATTCTTCGCAGTAATAACACTGTCAAACGAAAGGCTTGTTTAATGGTATGAAGCAGTGAAATCTTTCAGAGCCAATTGATGTTAATTTTAGTTTCTCAAGTATCTTTTGCAGGGATATTTTCAAAACTATTATACCAAAGAGCCCATATAGGACAATGCTAGTTAGTCTCTAGAGGCCGAAACTCTATTTATTTTATTTTTTTTTCTGTACCTAATGACATTAATCCTGTAGGGAGTTGTGGAGGAGTTTGGCATTCCCCAACGTGAAAATTCTAACCAAACTGCATTGCAACCTGCTTGGCGATTTGGAAATGGAATGTTTGCACTTGTTCTGTCATTTGGCCTTCTTTTTACAGCACTAAGGAGCCGTAAAGCCAGATCCTGGCGCTATGGAACAGGTGCTGGGTTATGGCATTAAAATTCTTATACAAAAGACATAAAAGGCCAATAGTTTTGTAACATATTTTGAGCATTATAACTTTGACTGAAAAAAAAAAAAAAAAATTCAATTCTGTACCCTTGCAATAGTGATTTACGCATGTAGTTTTTTCTTTAGTTACTTTGATTCTCACTTTATATTCAGTTTCCTTTGGGAGAGTCATTTGTATTCCTCTTAATCTTCTCTTGACATAAGCATCTGCTTTCGATTTTATAGGTTGGCTACGTGGACTGATCGCAGATTACGGGGTGCCACTTATGGTGCTTTTGTGGACTGCTGTATCTTATATCCCAACCCATGATGTTCCAAGAGGGATCCCAAGGCGACTTTTCAGTCCAAATCCATGGTCTCCTGGTGCATATTCAAATTGGACAGTTATCAAGGTGAGTGAGTCTTATAATTTTCCTTAAGCCTGCAGCATCACTTCAATCAGTACTCTTCAAGAGAGCTAAATTTAACCTGCATTGCCTCTAAATTTTGTGAGAAATGTTCCAATGATGCTCAATTATGCAGGAAATGTTGAATGTGCCTCCTCTTTACATAGTTGGAGCTTTTATTCCAGCAACCATGATTGCTGTTCTTTACTACTTTGATCACAGTGTTGCATCTCAACTTGCCCAACAGAAGGAGTTCAATCTGAAAAAACCAGCTTCATATCATTATGATCTGCTTCTCTTGGGCTTTCTGGTATGCTTTTCTCCTGGAATATCAATATTTGACATGATGAACTTGTTAAAACAGTTCAATCAAAAGCAACAAGATTATTCTCTTTGATTTTATTAAGAACATCCTTTCCTCTTTTTTTTCTTAATACTGAACGTATATGTTTTCAATTAGGTTATATTATGTGGTCTGTTTGGCATTCCCCCATCCAATGGTGTAATTCCGCAATCTCCAATGCATACAAAAAGCTTAGCAACCCTGAAACATCAGGTAATAACTTGTTTGTGGGGTTCCTGAAGTTTCATGAATGTACTTTGTGTGATAGTAGGGCACTTCAGTGGATTAATAAGCAAATTTCTTAATTAATTGAAATTTAGATTTTACTGAATTCTTCTTTCTTACCTTCATATCTTAAGTTCAAAGTGGGATTGAGGCAGGATAATTCCTTTCCATACCAATTATTTTAATCAAATGTAGAGAAAGCCATTAAGCTCTTGTTATCTGTGTTACTTCTGCTTCTATATCTAACATTTTCTGTTCTTTCATTCACTTTTCAACAGCTTTTGCGTAATAAGCTAGTGGCAACAGCAAGAAAAAGTATAAGAAAAAATTCAAATCTGAGTCAATTATATCGGAACATGCAACAAGCATACAATGAGATGCAGACTCCACTTGTCTATCAATTTCCATCGGCTTTGGTAGGTTAATTTGTATTAATTTTTTTATCTAAACAATCATTTATCCTCATGTTCTCATCCTTACTGTTACTTCTCAAACAGGGGCTGAAAGAACTGAAAGAATCCACCATCCAGTTGGCATCAAGAACAGGTTACATTGATGCCCCTGTTGATGAAACCATTTTTGATGTGGATAAGGACATTGATGATCTATTACCTGTTGAAGTCAAAGAGCAACGTCTCAGTAATCTGCTTCAGGCATTGATGGTGGGGGGTTGTGTTGCTGCTATGCCTCTTCTTAAGAAGATCCCAACTTCTGTACTCTGGGGCTACTTTGCTTTTATGGCCATTGAGAGCTTGCCTGGGAACCAATTCTGGGAGAGAATATTACTGCTTTTCACTGCTCCAAGTCGAAGATACAAGTAAGTTTGTGTTTTATTATTGTTTTTTCTTCTTGAGGATGAGGGTATAGATTCATAAAGCCAGCCATTACTTCTATTCCTTTTTATCATGTTTGCAATTGCTTCAGTTCTACTGTGAAATCTGCTTCTCTGGTACTGCAACTGTAGCCTGTAGGGGTAGGACAGTAGGGTAAAAGTCATGTTTATTGTAGATCCATGCTTTAGTCGATCTTATGAGAAATAGATTGTATCAGAAGTTTTCTTATATTTATCACATTCATGGTGCTATTAAGCCTGTTTTTATTCTATCATTATTATCCTTAGAAGAATTAGACATCTGATTTCAAGTATCTAATCTGCCAGGGTTTTGGAGGAGAATCATGCAACATTCATTGAGACTGTACCCTTCAAAACAATAGCCATGTTTACCACATTCCAGACAGTTTACTTGCTCTTGTGCTTTGGCATAACATGGATTCCAATAGCTGGAGTACTTTTCCCTTTGTTGATCATGCTTCTAGTGCCAGTGCGGCAGTATTTCCTTCCCAAGTTTTTCAAGGGAGCTCATCTTCAAGACCTGGATGTTGCAGAGTATGAGGAAGCTTCCGCCATTTTTGAAGTATGTCATGTTGAATCCTTTCTTTATTTCATTTCGCCTTGAAATATTTGAAACAAGATTGGGTATATCCATATAAATCTTGGATATAAAAACTGCAAATTAGTCATCATACTTGGTAACCAATATAGTTGATTTTGTAGTTCATGTACTTACTACTTAGTCATTTATTTATTGTGGGGTGTGAAACGACCTGCCACAAAAACTCAAACTCAGCTCTAACTTGAGTTGTTAGCAGTGGTTGATGTTGAAACTTATGTACCACTCATAATCACACTTTCTTCCTAATATGGGATTCAGGTAGGGTGTCACAGGGTGCAAAGCAGTAAATGTTTGGATAAATCAGTTTTTTTTTTTTAATATTTCTATATGATGTCACAGTTAGAACATGTCCTTGTTTCTTGGGGTTTCTGTTCTAATACATGTATGCTGGACAGGACCAGGATCAACAAGCAAGAATTACAAGCATTGATGGTGGGGAAATTCTTGATGAAATTATCACAAGAAGCCGTGGTGAGATCCGCCACAGGCATAGCCCTAAAGTAACAAGTTCAACTCCTTCAGACGACATAAAACCTTACAATAGCCCACAATTGTCAGAGAGGGCATGTAGTCCCCGTGTTAGTCAATTGAGGATGGAAACAAGTCCCTGGGTGACTGGAAAAGGACTCCAATCCAAGCAAACTCCTAGCCCTGGACCATCTACACTTGGACAAAGCAGCCATGCTCCATCTTCGTGCTAAAACCATACATTGTAATTCTGGTGAGTTTAAAATGTCAATTGTTCTCGAGAGGTCTTGTGCTAAGTTCTTGTAATTGAAATGTTCTTCTGTCAGTGTGTTTTCTATTTCTGGTACTAACTATTGGATGTTTGCCAGTAGTTTTATGTATCTTCCTTATATTATAATTATCACATTGTTGGGTTTGAGACTACTTTGTTGGAATTTGGCACCCTACTAGCTCATGCTAGAGGAAACGTGGAATAAATAATGAGTTTCATTTTTTACCGTTCAACCCGCAAAAGGGACCTTTGAATAGGGTGAATGGTTCTCAATATCACACAACAATTTTTTTTTTTTTGAACATTTTTGTTATGGGGTTGGTTCAAACCGTTGTCATGGGGAGGGGATATGAATCTTTACAAACGTGGTTAGAGCCACTTAGTCGAAGGATTGTTCATCATAGAACAATTTTTATCCAAGGGTGAGCTAAATATATATATTTTTTTATAAATAATACTCTTTTTGTTTATTTTTAATATAAATTTAAAAAGTATATATTTTATAAATGATAATTAAAATTTTTTTTTATCAAATAAAAATATTCAAAAATAACTTTATATAGAAAATTTTAATTATGATTCATATATATTATCAAATTTTTATTTAAATTTTATATTTAATAAATTAAAAAATTAAAATAAATCTATTAAAAACAAACTGAGTAACAGTACTTAATAAAAAGAAAGAAGAATACTAATCTTAGGTGGTCCAATCCAATTAACAATTTTGTTGTTTTATCAGCAAGCATACATGGCAATTGTAGTTAAGAGCCGACCAATGCCATCGCTGACATTGATTGGCTTTGCATATTCTGCCAAAATATTCTTTCTTTCCCCTTCATTCTCTTTTTCTTGATCTCAACATAGGTTAAGAAATGATTGAAATTTGTCTCTTATTATAAAAAAAAATTTTATTTTATGTTTTTAAAATATATGATAAAAATATAATAAATATAAATTTTTTATAATTAATATTTATTAAAAATGTAAATATTAATTTTAATTTAATCAATTAATTAATTAAAATTATTTATGTCAATTATGTTAAAATATATATTAATTTTTATAATATTTTTAATTTATATTTTTTAAACATACATGTTAAATAAATTTTTATAATAATAAAAAAAAATATTTTTGAGAGTTGACATGTGTCCTTCATCGATCAAAGATGAGTGAGCAAGAACGTGCCACGGATGCAAAAGGACAATAAGAGCCGACCTGTTGCAGCAGCAATTATTGGTGTAATTGCTTAATGAGTAATCCAAGTGTACCAAAAGCCTAGCTAATTACTTTTGTGGGACAAACCGTACCAAGAGCCAACTAATTACTTTCGAACAACCAAGTTCTACGTTTGGGAAAAGCCGTATGCCTCTCAAACAACTCTCCATTTCCTGGCTGTAGGGAGGAGTGTACTGTATCTTTATGCATATTGAGGGGAAATTCATTCTCTTCAGACCTGTTGTTGTCCCCTTAATGTTTCGTGGTAAGGAGGGATTCCAGGGCTGCGCGTAGATTCATATCTAATTGCACATTAAAAATATAGTTTTGATATTAAAATTATTGAAATATTTATAATAATATTTTATTTTATTTTTATTTTTTTAACAGCTTACAAATATGGGAGAGAGGGGATTCGAATCCCAACCTTCGAGTTGAGGGATGCACTTTACAAGTCGGCCTATGATCGTTGGACCGTGAGATTTAGGTGCATTTTATTTATTTTATTAAACTCTTTCGTATCTAAATATTACATTAAATTTTAATTAATTTACAATCAAATCACGTTAAATTTTATAAAAGAGTAAGTTTTATTAACATATTTTTTTTCTATTCATAATATTTAAATCAAGTTCTTTTTACTTAAATTAATACATTATCGGTTGTAATCCCCTGTGTACCTCAGTGGTGGTCACGTTATTCATTAGGTAACAGATGAAATATACGCTGATCATGAGTTTGACTTTCCCAAAAAATAGATACTAACTAATCTAACCTAAAATTTTTTATTGTAAAAAAAAAAGTTATTGGTTTCTTAATTAAGTATTATTTAAATAAAATTTCTTATTTAATATATATTATAATTATCTTATAAATAAAAGTAAAATAAGAATAAACACATTAAATAATATTTTAAAAAATTAATACTTAAATTTAAATATCTTAAATAAAAGAATTAAATTTTTTAAAATTAAATAAAATATATATATAATTTAATAATCTCAATGTCCAAACTTTATTTTGATTTATACATTAAATAATAAATTATATAATAAAAATAATCTTTCTCTCTTTATACCCTTCACACCCATTTTAAATTTAAAATTTAAAATTTTCAATTTAAAAATTTATACTCTTAATAATTAAATGGTCCCGTTGGACAGAATTGTCTTCTGATTGGATCATTGCATATGTACCCTTTTTTATGGGTTCATTATATGCAGAGAAAAGTAAAGATCTCATGCTCATGTAACATTTTGAATGACTGTATTTTTTTACATGATAATTTATTAAAAATATTATAATTTTTTTATTCTTATTTTAAATACTTTATTAGTCATGAGGTCTTATATTTTTTGTTTTTTTCTATGTATATATTATTACGTGTTTATATGAAAAAAAAATAAAGATATTATAATATTGTAAATATTATTTAAGTATTTTAAATAAAATTTTTACATATTAATTTATTAAAAATACTTAAAATCTATTATCAATTTATCATCAATTTTGATATTTTAATTTTTGGGGAAAGTTCTGCTTTTTAACTTTTGCCGTATACAAAAATTTTTCTGTAACATGATTGAGAATAAGCCTTTTCAAACAATTGTCACGCATCTGTTGAAGATGAGGCCGCAGATATTGTTATTTGGAGACTCAATTACAGAGCAATCCTTCAGAACCGGAGGATGGGGTGCTTCTCTCGCTGACACCTACTCTCGCAAGGTTCCAATCCATTTCCATTTCGGTTTTTTTTTTTTTTTCTTATCCCATCATGCATTTTGACTTCTCTGTTATTTAATTGTTGTTCTTGCCAATCCTTGTTGTAGGCTGATGTTTTGGTTCGTGGGTATGGGGGGTATAACACTAGATGGGCTCTCTTCTTGTTGCAACACCTTTTTCCTCTGGTAAGATCTTCCCTTTCTCCATTTTTTGTTATTCCTTGCAACCATAGATCTGGATTCCCATATGGGGTTTTTCTTTTTTATTGGTTGAATTTGGAAGTGTGCGGTGATTGTTTTGATTGTCTTGGTTGGAGTTCTAAGTTGATCTTTGAATGAGATGCATTTTGTAATTTCATGTGGTTTTGAATCCAGTTGATCTTGTTAATCTAAAGATACTTCCTTTTTGGCTCATGGTGGATATTGAAATTTGAAGTTTTGAACTTTTTTAGGTATTCTAAACTAAATGTTGGTCATATATGTAAAAGTTTTAAGTGAACAGGAAAAATTCTTTTTTCTCTTTTGTGTGTATGTGTGTGTGTGTTTTTAATCGTCTTTTTCTATGCAATGTATACTGATGTGGTCTCAATTATCTACTTGCGGTTTTAGATTCATTTTTATATTTTGTTTTCCCATAGGGCGCTGTTAAACCTCCGGCTGCCACCACAATTTTCTTTGGAGCTAATGATGCTGCTCTTTTGGGGAGAACTAGTGAGCGCCAGCATGTTCCTGTGGAAGAATACAAGGAGAACATCAGAAGAATTGTAAATCATTTGAAGGTTCAATCTTTTTCCCATTACTATTATTTTAGCAGCCTCCATGCTAATATTTGTGCCTGGATGGATTTCAGTTGTTGCCATCTTTGATCTATGCGTACTTCATTCTAGATGTTCTGCTGGGAATTGAACCTTCTTTTTTTTTTTTTTTATCTACTTATTCTAAGAATAAAGACTGACTGACTTGACTGGCACTCCCACATACAACACATGATCAACTACTTGCCACCCTGAGTAACCAAAATACTTAATACCAAATGACAGCAAGCAACTTCCTTCCTTTATGGTAAGAGCTTTCTCTTTGGCTGAATGATGCATGAATTTTCTTTCATTTTGTCATTTTGCCAGCAGGGTGCCGAAAGATAAATAAAGTAGACATTTATAAAAAAAGTTCTTGGTGGTTATAGAGCAACAGTTAAACTATCTTGCTATCTGCGCTTGTGTCTGTTTTTTTGACTTTCTAGATTAATTTGCCTCATGTAGAATCCTTCATGAAAACTAAAAGAATTTTCATGATTCTTTTATGCCCTTTTAAGTTTGTCTTGCAAAATCACTTCTCTTCTAAACTCTAAAGGCAAAAAATGTAGAATAAATTGGCAGCTCTTTCTTGGAAATTGGAATCAATCTAAGCCTTTTGTTTTCTTTGTGGTTAATACTGACATGATATGTAATAGAAATTGGCTAGGTTATAAGATATATTGGAATGCAACCATATTTTGACACACCTAGATATATCTGCCTCATTTCTCATCAAGAGTTTGAAACCATGCCACCATGACCCCTATATATTGTGAAAGTATCATAAATACATTATCTGGGTGGCATTTCCTCTATATTGCCAAATTATATATAGCCTTGTGAGCTATCACATTTCCTATTACCATTTTGGGAGATAATAAATGTTGGTTCTATAAACAAAAATGGTCTGGGTGGAGAACTAGGATGCCCCTGCAGAATTTCACAATTCAGTGTCACTTTGATACAGCTAAAGCAAAAACGCCAGGAGGCTTGAAACTATTTCACTAACATTGTTCCATGAGCCAACAAGGGAAAATATCAACTATTGATCATGATCCTAATATTTACCAGCTTGAGGTGCAGGTTTGGTGATGAGATAATGAGTTGGTTTAGAGTTGATTAGTTTTCAGAAGTGTGGCTTGGTAGAAAATTTTAATTAGGGGTACTTTATTATTTGCAGTTAAGTCAACCTCACTCACAGGATATTGTTGTGATGAGCCTAGGTGATTTTTGATGAACGTGTTGTGCCTGACTTCTCACACTATCATTCATTTTCTTTGTAGGAATGCTCATCTACAATGCTTGTTGTGCTTATAGCTCCACCGCCAGTTGATGAGGAAGGACGTATGAAATTTGCAAGGTAACTTCCCTTTCCTTGAGACATGAGCTATACTTCACCCTGTGAAATCCAACCTAGTTATACCAAATGTAATCATTGCTGTGATGATTTTTCCTTTTCTTATTCCCCTGTTTATTTTGCCCTTGCCTGTGCTGTCTAATTATATTGACCACCACCTCTAACAACTTCACCATCATCCTAGTTCTTTCTGCAACCATTCTATTGCCGCCAGATCTGCCTTTACCAGCATAACCTTGTCCTTCATGCTTTCTGAGTTTGAAATGTCTTTTTTATTAGGGTGGTGGAGTTGTGAAGGTTTGAATTTCAAATAACATCAAAAAAGTTGTTCAAGGACAAAATGATAATTACTTTTACCATCACTGAAACTACATCTTTTGTATGTCTTGACTGATGACGACAATATGCTTAACCAGATCTATGTATGGGGACAAAGCTATGAAACTGCCAGAAAGAACAAATGAAATGGCAGGGGTCTATGCAAATCAATGTGTTGAATTAGCCAAGGAGATGGGTATCAGATCTATCAATCTATGGTCCAAGATGCAAGAAACAGAAGGTTGGGGGAAGAAATATTTGAGGTTTGTTGTACCTATTTTAAGCCTACTGCTTCTAGGAATTTCTTATCATACTTATAAAACCCTTATATTCCTTGAGAGAAGCAGTAGCATATACTCATTCTAACTGCTACATCTTCTGTGGAATAATCTCCAAGATCACAATAGTTTTTCCATTCTCAAATGAATTGTAGACAAAGCATCTTCATCTATTTTTTCTTGTTTTACAGTGATGGATTGCATCTGACACCTGAAGGCAACGGAGTGGTCTTCCAGGAAGTCATAAGAGTGTTCAATGAAGCATGGCTTTCTGCTGCAGAAATGCCATATGATTTCCCCCACCACTCGGAAATTGATGGCAAGAACCCTGAGAAAGCTTTTCAGCAGAAATGCTTATAGCTTTTCTAGCTGTTGTTCACATTTCCTGTCCAGGATATCTCTTCCAAAATACACCACATTCTGACTTTTCTTGTTATACTAAAATCATCAACTCTCTGATGAAGGTAAATGAAAATTTAAACTTGAAAGATTTTTCTTTTGAATAAAATGTCTCAAGCTTCATTTGTTATTTTGTATCTT